GTACTTGCCCCAGCACTCCAGGGCCTGCAGTGTAACGTCCCAGGTTCTAAGACACTGTTGTGCTCCACTGGCTGAGAGACGTGGAGTAGAGGCAGATTCTACACTGGTCAGCAGCTTCCTGAGGTAGGGATCGGGCCTGTTATTATTCACCTGGCTCTCTGTCTGGGACATGGTAGAAATTCAATAAATATTTGTTGGATGGATGACTGGATAGGCTGGTTGGTATCCCACCTCTTGCTCAGGGAGAGGTTCATCCTTTTCAATAGCTCTAGAATGAGGATAGTTGATGGTGCTCCTTTCCTGCTTGGTGCTGAGCTGTCATGGACAGGAAATGAAACTTTTTCCCTTGTCAACTGAGTAACTACTTCCTTGTGAAGCAAGAGCACAGATCTGTCTATGCCTCGATCTTGACATGGTAATTTGTGTGGAGCTCTGACGCGTGTGTCATCCCGGCCTCACACAATACATCCTGCCACCTGTCCCACCACCTGTGTCAGGGCTATTGCTTGGAATCAGCTGGGATCAGCTCTGTCTCCTCCGCCACCTGTCAAGTGCCTCCTCTCCCCTATGACACTGTCATTGAGTGCTATTCTAGGGGAAGGTAAAGGGAGGAAAGTGACTGTACCTTTCATTCCTGGGCTTAAAGTAAATGGAGAAGGGCTGAGACCCCAGAACTAGATATACTCCTTCAGGCAAGGCTTAATCTAGGACTCTCTCATGTTCCTTCTTGCCTGCACATCTGCTGGAGGGAGAGCATATCCCAGGTGGTGGTGAAGAGCACTGCTTCTGGGCTAGATTTTCGGGGTGACCTGAGGGCAGTTCCTCCATGAATGTCTGCCTCAGTTTTCTCATTTGTAAAGTGATGATAGTACTAGTACCTGCCTCATAGGGTTTGGGGAATCAATAAATTTTTTTTTTTTAAGATTTTATTGGGGAATTGGGGGAGGGGAACAGCACTGGGGAATCGGGGGAAGGGGAACAAACAAGTTGCTGTCGTTTTGTTCTTCAGTCTTGTGGAGAACGTTGCCTCACTGGCCCATGTTGGTATTATCATTGCACTCTTCCCGGGTGAGGCAGATCGGTCACCGGCCTCTGGACGGCCACTCACGGCGGCTCTTGGCAGCTCACACTGGCTGCTGGCCACTCACGCTGGCTGCCAGCCACACACGGTAACTTATGGCGGCCCACTGCAGCAGGGGCTGCAGCCTAAGCCGTCGCCAGCGACTCTTGGCAGCCCAGCTCCAGGTTGAGCTGTTGTTCACCATCTTAGCTGCAGAGGGCAGTGTCACTGGCCTCCATGTGGGATCCAAACTGGGGCTCAAGCCAACTCTTATCCAACGTGCCACTTGGCTGGCCCAAATGTTTTATATATAAAGTGCTTTGAACATTGTGATACACAGGCTTAGATCCATGTTCTATGGAGCCTGAAGTTTATGCAGGTTGATACAAAATTAGGTAAGAAAGTGAATATTTATTTAGAGCGATAAAAAAATCATACAAAAATACAAGTTTTAAAAGGCTGACAAATACCAAAACATCACAGAATTTAAAAAAATAACATAGTATTTGTATTAATTAACCTCGATACCTTTTTCTTCATTGTTTGGTTGCATACTCCTTAATGGCCTCATTATTCAACACCAGTTTTGTAATATCATTTTCTTTCGAGCAAATAGAAAGTAATCTTCCCTGTAGCCTGGTTGATTGGGATTTTTAAAAGATTATTGATAGTTAATAATAGTTAATTATTGACACTTTCTGCTTAACAACCCTTCCTCAGCAATGCCCTTGTAAAACTTTAGGATTATTAACAAATCTGGGAAAACCTCTGATTTAGTTACTATGGCTATGTAACAGGCCACTCAAACTTAATAGCATAAAACAGCAACCACATTATGAGTATCAGAGTTTCTGTGGGTCAAAAATTCAGAAAGGGCATATAGGCTGGGGATGACTCAACAGCTGGGCTGGAATCATCTGAAGGCTTATTCACCCCCATACCTGGACCTGGGCTGGGAGGACTTGGAGGCAAAGATTGCTGACTCTGACACCAACTTGTGTCCTCTCCACATGGGTGGCTTCCTTGCAGTACAGGGACCTCAGGAGGACTTGGATGTCTCACATGGTGGCTCTCAGCGGGAGAAGCTGCATTGCCTTTTATGACCTAACCACAGAGACAAGCAGTGTGAAGTTCCTCACATCCTATATTTAGAGCCTCCAACCCACAAGATTCAAGAGGAGGGGAATTTGCCTCCACTTCTTGATGAGGGAGTGGCAAGGTTCTAGAAGAACATGAAGGACAGCAGGTATTGTTGAAAAGCTCTTTTAAAAAATAAAATTCGCCGCAAGTTTGTCTCATATCTGAGCCATTGTAGATGTGCTAGCTACTTGTCGTATAGGAATACGATAACTTCTATTTCTTGATTCCCATAAATAAAAAGAAAAAAGTATTCGAGACATGATTGAAAACATCTGTTTTAGGAGAGAACTTCTGTTTCGATCAGGTGGCAATGAAAACTAAGTCTTCCACTTGGGACTTTATGTCTGATTGGACGAGTTTTACAGACTAGTTTCTGGCTCTGTATATTTCAGACTTTGTTTTTCTTCCTCTACTCTGTTCTTACACAGCAATACAACTTTTGGCCTTGTGTGCCTCTGTGTCACAATGCCAGAGAAGTTGGCACAATGGGTGGTAGGAGTATTTTTGGAAACTATCTCTAAACCAGAATGGCTAGCAGTAACTTCACTATACATGAAACTGGCTGCAGACCACATAACTATGGCCCACTAAGCTGAAATTAAATGCACTCAGTTTCAACTTCTGCTTAGCCAGGTCTTAAAAATAGCCACAGTCACTTCAATGCTAACAGAGGAGATGAAAGAATGGGAAGACAGTGGTCTTAACCAGGTGTAGTTAAAATAGCTTGCTTCTGCAAATTTCATGACACATGTGAATGCTCGCAAGAACCTATTGCTAGGGTCCTCTCAGAGCCTTGGAGGGACACACACCCTTGGGAGGAGCCAGGTTAAGCAACATTAGCTTCATAGTAAACCTACCTCTGTCTGGACACAGTAAATATTGTTTAAGTGTCAATTATTATCATTGGCTCCATTTTCTGACAGGGTTTCCTCTTGTGGTGGCAAGATGGCTACATTCAGCAGCTCCAGCTTCATATCCTCCTCAGCGCCACCCTCAGCACTTCCTGCAGCAGGATTTACTTTGTACCAGCCTGGGTCATGAGTCCAATGAACCAAGGGCGATTTCACGTGCTGGTTCGCCACCCTGGACCAGGTGCTGCTTTCTTGCGGCTGAAGGTTAGAGCAACACCACCCAAACCGTGGGGCTGAGGATGCGGGTGGAAGTGTCGTAAATCCCATCCATGCAGGGGGGTCCCCAAATTAAGACTCTCTGAGTCAGGAATTCCATGGTTTTCACAAGGCCTAGCATCTACCACACATCACTTCACAGATGGAGAAACTGAGCACCACACTGCTCTCCTAGTCCAACCGGCTGAGCCCTGGGACCTCTGGGGCATGGGGCTGCCTAACCCTCTCATGCTGGTGTGGAGTGCTCGCACTGGGTGTCATCTCATGGAGGGTGAAGCTGCAGCTCTGTCTCTCTAGCCATCTTCTCTCCGCTTTCTTCTCCCCCAGATGTTTCCAGATAAGGCTGGCATCCGTTCCGGGAGAGGTGAAATCACTCCCCAAGGGGATGTAGTTCCTCAGGATTCCTGTGGTCCTAGGCTAGCTCTGGGACTGGCCCAGGAACTGGAGGCCACTGAAGACTCCATGGTGAGCGGGCTCCAGGCTAGGCTGAACCCAGTCTGGGGAGGGGGCATGGGCTTTCCATGCAGAGATCATGGCTCCACCTCTCACCAGGCAGGGACTTTGTACATTGCTTCCTCTATGACCTACTTTGGAATAAGTTTTTCTTTGTAGTTTTTTTTCTACATTTTACATTTACTTTTTCATTGGATTTTATATCTGGTTCATTCAAATTAGAAATATTTTCCATTCAATTATTTTTCACAGTTCATTATTAAGACCAGTATTCTTTTTTTTTTTCTTTTTGGCTGATTCTGTAATAATACATTTTAGATGACTTTTGTAATAATTTAACATTAATTCAGTTTCATTTGCCTTGAAAATCAAATGATTCAATTATAGTGAATTGACGTTAAAACGCCAAATTCATGTTCAGAACATTTAGTGTTATCATGCACATAGAGTAGTTTAAACAGGTGACTTCACCAAGGTTTTTTTTTTTCTGTAATATTCATCATCTAAGAGTTTTCTGATTGGTCTCTTTTACCTTTATTACAAAGTTTATCATTTGAGTCTAATGGAAATCCTCTAAATTCCTAGGACCAGCCAAATGGAAGGGGTGAGAGTGAAGTTGAGGGTGAGGGGTCTAGAACCAGAGTTCAGAGCCCCCTGCAGCTCTCCGAAGTTGGCTCAGGGCCTCCACCATGACTGCCTTTGTTATACACTCAGACTCCTGCCTGCATGGAGCCGCCAAGGAGGCCGGGCCTCTTTTCTGTTTCCAGATGCACAGACCTCCTCTCCCAGAGGCTAGCCTGGCGCAGGCTGGGGGCTGAGCTGCAGGGGTTTCCCCTGCGCTGCCCCTACCCCACCCTATGCCTGCTGCTCCAGGGGATCAGCTTCCTGCCACTGCTCCTGGGACTTGTCTACCCTCCTCTCTGCGGCTGCAATCCTGACACCCCACATCTGGAACTGGTGCTCCACCTATCAGACCTGGAGCCCTGCCAGAGATTTCTGGAGATGCTGGTTGACTCAGCCTCTGGAGGAAGGGGAGAAGGTTCTGGGCTGAGGGAGTCACCTTAGGGGGGTGGAGCCCCAACCTGTTTATAGGATCATGGCTCCTCCAAGGCTGGCAGATTCACAGTCAGTCCCATCCCATTGGAATAGTTGCTGCCAGCCAACCAGGGAGCTGTCATCTTGGCAGGAGCTGAGTTTGGAGCAGAGCTGAAAGGATTGGCATGGAGAGACTGCCACCTAGGGGACCACCTGGCCATCCTCATCAGGTAATAGGGTCACGGAGCTCATGGGCATCACTCCGGTCAGGGCCTAGGGCTTGGGGTTCCAAGAAGCTTGACACAGCTGAAACCAAGGGAATTCTAGTCTCTGGGGAGGGCCTGGGTACCAGACCTGCGGTCTCTGCCTAGGCAGAGGCTGAGGGTGAAAGGCAGAGGGCGAGGGAGTCTGTGCTTGAGGACGGGGAGTGGATGGGACGATCAGCATTGTTAGAAGCGAGGGCCCAGGTGACCACAGCCTCCCTTGTCCACCCTGAGTGACCAGCTCCTTCCTCTCCTTCCTGCAAAAGAACATAGTGGCTGTGTGTCACAGAAGTAGATCCCACCAGACCACAGCCCACCACTGCAGCCAGTGGGCTTCCTGGAACTGGCTGGAGCCCAGGAGCCGCCCCGTCTCAGCAGGTCTGCCAGCCCAAATCCCCATCCACTGCCAATTATTTACTGGGCTCAAGCAATGAGGCTGCAACCAGGCCAAGGAAGCCTACAAGTGGCTTGCCCCACCCCCGCCACATGCTTCCCCTCAGCCCAGATTCTCATTCTCTGCCAGGGACCAGGGCTAGAGAGAGTGGCTCTTTTGCCCAGTCTGGGGACAAAACTAAAGCCTAAGGTATGATGACCCTGAGAGCCTGAGTCTGCCCTCACACCTGGGAAACACTTTGCCTCTTGCTGATGTTTCTGGAGCTGGCTGAGTCCCCGAAACTGGGCCCAGCTTTCAAGTCAGCTTCTGGGGCAAGCGAGCCTCAGCAGCGGCCTCACCCCAGCTCTTTCCTGCTGGAACAGAAGACTGGAGCCTGCCTTGGCAGCAGGAGCTTGGCTTGTAGGGCAGGCTGGGCACATAGAACTTGCTCTGGGATGTGCCTGCCATGTTTAGCCTCACTCAGGAGGTATAGGGCCTGGGGTTGTATTATAGCTTCCAATCCTCCTCTATCCAACCTCCCTACTGTCCCACCATGGTCCTTTGGTGCCAGCAGAGGAAAAAGGTGGCCTGCTCATTTTTCTTTTCCTGCCGAAGACCCCCATGGCCACAGATACTTTGGACCCTGGTCTGGGGACTCCAGCCCGCTCAGGCTCATTTGGGCCACATCCCCTGTGGTCCTCTCCACAGGATGGAGTAGGTCCCAGGGTCTCTGCACAGGGGCAGAGACAGTAGCTGGAACTCTCAGGAGGGAGGTACACCCACCATCCTACAGAAAGCTGGGCTGGGGGTGGGGAGTCCCTGCTGGAGAACTCCCCCAGGAGTGTCCAGGGTTAGTCATCAATTAAGGCAGTATTTCAGGTGGGATGCTCTTGTAGGAGTGGGTTATGGGGGGGGGGGCAGGGAGGTGAAGTCCCAATGCCCTCAGGAGAAAAGAATCCTATAGTTGACAAGTTAGTTCAATAATCATATTTGGCTAAAACAAATCTATGAAATTTTAGTGTCTAGATATCCACAGGGCAGTGGGGAAAAGTTACATGCTTTTATAAAGAAGCGAAGTCCTGGGAAGGCAGTATAGCACAGGGGTTGTGAGCTCTGGCCTTGAAGACCTGAGTTTGAATCCTTCTGATGTCACTGACTCACACTGAGACCAAGGGCAAAGTAACTTTTCGGAGCCTCAATTCTCTCATCTGTATGATGGGAGGAAGTGAGAGTACTATCTTATGAGGTTGTTGGGAGGATAAATCAAGTTTGTATATGTAGTATGCTTAGTACACAGCACCTAGAAACATACCAAGCACTTAATAAATAGTAATAAGAGCAATGATCTAGAAACTGCTTACTTTTTTGCTAAACATTTTCCAAGTATCAACACATTTCTCCTCAGAACATTGTGTGAAATTGATACTATTATTAATCCCACTACATATGAGGAAACAGAGGCACCGAGAAGTTTAGTGACTTGTCCAGGGTCACACAGCAAGTAAGCAGAGGACCAGGGCTTAGACCCAGACAACCTGGCTGGGAGCCTGCCTTAGACCACTCTGCTCTACTATCCCCCAGTAATTAATGATCAGTTGTTATAATTACTGTAAGAGCCCATCCTCTGGGTGCTGTGTTAGCGATGGTCTTAGAAGTGATGAGAAATGCGGTTTCACCTTGGAAAGTATCCTGCCAGGGGTTGGGGGGCTTTCTGAGGTTGAGAGGCTACAGTGACGGGAGAGAGAAATGAGCAACAACACTTAAATTGGGCAATGTGACTGGCTAAAAAGTGAGCAGTTGGGGGCACTTCTTAGTGGCCCCAGGAGGCTTTAGAGCAGCCCAGAGGCTGTGGCACCAAAGATGGAGGTCGGAGAGAGTCTGCAAGCCCTCTGCCCTTCCTCCATCTTGGAGTAGGCATTAAAGCACAACCCCCAAGAGGGCCCCAGGAGCCTAGCCAGCACCTTCTCTGTGGCAGCTGGTGATGGAATCTGGGTGCAGGGAGGAAATGGAGCCAGGTGTCTAAAAAGTCTTTAAGTCCAGGCCTATGACAACCTCTGGTTTAAGGCCTATAGAGTTGAAATGTTGCGGGTGTCACTGGAGTTAATCCCCAAGAAGAGAGAAACAAGTCAACTTGCTGGGAGGATAACTTGTGTTCTGCCAGGAGGCTGACAGGAATGACAAGGACACTCAGCATGGAGCCACAGGACAGGGAGGATACAGGACTTAGGGGAGAAGGGTGGGGGTGGGGGTGGGGCACAAGTCCTGAGTGGCACCGCTGTGGCCCATTGTCCTGTAAGGTTCTCTGTGGGAAGTGGAGAGCCACGTCCCATGTCCTCTGAGCTAGCCCCTCGTAGGCAGCCCCTGCGCAGAGCAGAGACAGGCTCCTAGTGGGAGAAGAGAGTTCCAGGTCACAGCACAATAGTGGGCCAGGTCGTGGGAGGGTGCAAGACAGGAAGCAGCTGTGGTTTCCCCACCACACTGTCTCCCAACCATGCCATGATGAATGTCCACCTTGCAAGCATGGTGCAGCCTCTGCCTCAGATCACAGGGGCTTATTACAAGAAACTTGTGCAGAGTGCTCAGGAAAAGTTACACAGACAGGCCTCAGGAAGAACAGAAACCCAAGGGGCCTCTGGGATCCCAGCAGTGCCAAGGATCTCAGCAGTAGGGGTTTGGGACTAACCCCCTAGTACCCTGTCCGAAGCCATGCCCTACCTGTCCTCTGCTTTTCTTCCCACCACCCTCTTCTCCTCGTCTTCTCTGCCCCTCCCAGCTTCTGCCCACTCAGATTTTTCTTCCTCCTTATTGGGCGTCTGTGGACTGAACTGGTCTCGCCAGCATCTTAATGTACAATGACCTTTCCACCTACTGCTCACAGCCTGATGCTCTTGGAGTTTCTGAATTTCCACCCAAGAGAGGGTGAGTACCTGTGGCTATCACAGACCACTGGGCTCCCCAAGGCTCAGCCTCCTTGGAGTCATGCATCCACTTCCTGTCCAGAGGACTACGGCACACTGGGCAGCAGGGTCACATGCTTCACCAAAGGGTTGCCCTCCCTGGGAGCTCTGGGAATAGCCAACCCCAAACTGATAGGCAAAGGCTGTTTGGCTCCTGAATACCTGGCAGTATCACCAAGCATCTCGGGAGAAGCCTGGGCACAGATTGGTGGGGCTCACAAATAAGCAGGAAGGACTTAGTCATCTGCTATTTCTTTCCAGAGGGTGGCCTCTGCCTGCTGGCGTCTCACCGTGAGGGTCCTGGAGGCGCGAGGCCTGGGCTGGGCTGACATGTGTGAGTAACTGTCTCTGGGCTCCAGGGCTGTAGGGATGACTGGGTCCTATGGGGAAGGCCCAGGTAAGTGCCTTGGGGCTAGGCTTGGCTGGGCTGTCCACTGTGACCACCAGGGTCTTGCAAGGAAATTGGCAAGGCCCCTGGAGAGGGGTATGAGGAACTCTCTCTCACGATGGTTCTCTTGACTTTGGCAGTGAGTGAGGCAGACCCCTATGTGGTCCTACAGCTGCCAACTGTACCTGGAACAAAGTTTAAGACCAAAACAGTCACCAACTCTAGTCATCCTGTATGGAACGAGACCTTCAGTTTCCTAATCCAGAGTCAGGTCAAGGTAAAGTTCGGGTCACCCACCTGAGGACAGGCTGTAGCTTGCCTAGAGACGGTTCTTGGGGGGCTTTGTCAGAGAAGCTGGGAAGTGGGTGTCTTTGTGCCCTAGCCTGGATGGGCTGTGTGTGAGAGAATGTGTGAACCCACCAGCTGCCCGTGGGCCTGATCTCTGGCTAGCAGCTGGTCCTCTCTAAGCCCGTGTATGGAATGGAGACAGTAAGAATCCCCCTCCTTATTTGGGTTGTTATGAGGTGAAATGAAATAATGTACTCCTAGGACAGTCCCTAGTCCATATGCTACCTTACGGAACAAGCAAAGCAGGGGTGAGGCAGGTGGGGGAAGAATTCTTTGAAAGAATTTTATTTTTTATAAAAATAAAAATTAGCAGGGGAAAACTAGCAACATTGCTGGGTTTCCTTTTACTGATTTAAGTTTTACCATTATTTTTATTTTGAAGTACAAAGCATGGAGGCGTTAAGAACCTTTTCTGGCTCTGGCCTTCAAGTAAGGGTTCAACAGGTGAGGGCTACAGCTATGAGTACATAATGTGCTAAATTGTTGTTCTTGAGTCCCTAGAATATTCTGGAGCTGAGTGTCTATGACGAGGACTCAGTCACGGAGGATGATGTCTGCTTCAAGTTTCTCTACGACATCTCAGAAGTACTCCCTGGCAAGCTGCTCCGGAAGACCTTCTCTCAGAGTCCTCAGGTGTGTGGGCCCCAGGCTAAGGAAGTTGCATAGTTTATCTCCTCTGCTGGGTAGAACTCATTCACAGAAAAATGCAAACCTCTCCCAGACACATTTACATTTTAATAGGAAAGGAGAAGCCTTAACTTGACTGCTACAGACTGAATCACTGAATGGAGGAATTTTACTGTCTGTGGGAGGAGGTTTTAATATCCCTTAAAACACATCTCAGCGTAACTAACCCTTTCGACATTTGTGGTTCCATCACTGCAGCTCACTGCCTCTGATCTCCCATGCGCTCAAGGCCTGCTTTATGAAGGTCTCTGTGCTCTTTCTCCAGCAGGTGAAGGCTGGGCACGGGGGAGGGCAGAGTTCTGGGGTTGGATCCCTCTCAAGAGGAAGATGAAATGGGCCCTGAGTACACTCCAGCCTCCTTCGGCAGGTGCCCTGCCAGAGCCCTGTTCTTTGCAGACCTAGCTGCGGTCACTTGGACAGGTAGCCCATCTTTCCCTAAGCCTGTTTCCTCATCTGTAAAATGAGAGAACTGTAAGACCGTGCCTCCCTTAGAGACTTGAGATGATGAAATAATGAATGTAAAAGAACCGTGTCAACTCAAAAAACATATATAAATGTTGACAACTTGCTCATCTTCTTTGACTCCAGGGACAGGAGGAACTGGATGTGGAGTTCCTGATGGAAAAGACGTGAGTAATATCACACAGTTCAGGGAGCGTCTCAGAACACAGGCTTTATTTAGGGAAATGTTATTGACCCAGATCTTCCTGTTGGTCTGTCCAGCCGAGACTCCCTGCCCCTCATCTCCCAGCTCCTGCCGTCTAGGTGGTGGGATCAGACCCTCTTAGAGAAACAACAAGAAGAAGGTCAATCTTTTCTCTGCTCTCCCCTCTCTCTCTCCTCACCTTTCACTCTCAGAACATCTCCCTGCACCCTGAATAGTATCCAGGACTTTGAGAACCTTCAGTGTCATCCAGGGAGCCCCACATGGGTAGAGCCTTGGCTGTGATGGAGTGGGGTGGGTGGGGAGCGGGGCTTGTCAGCACAGGGAGCTTTTACCTTTGCAAGGCCACATTCTGGATGGTTTGATTTTTCCAGGTCAGACCGCCCAGAAAACCTCATCACCAACAACGTCCTTGTGGTAACCATTACCTTCCCCAGGCTTGTGAGGGGGAGCTGAGGGAGGGACCCCATAAAGGACACTGGGGTGGGGATGGGGCAGGGTAGCTGCCCAAAGTGTGGGCTGGAATGGACAAGGCGAGGACAGGACCTGGCAGTAAGACCACCCCTGGGTCATTGGCTAGGTTGTCACCTAGGGTTGTGGTCAGGGGCTGGGGATTGGAGGGACCTGGGACTAAAGGGAACATGAAGAGAGGAGAGGCTGAGGCTCTGCTGAGAGGAGGACCTGGCCCAAGGCTGGATGGCTGAGGGGATGTTTGGGGAATTGGAGGGGAGGTGCTTCCTGATATGTTTAGTCACCTGTAATGAACTAATAGTTCTTAGCCCTGGAAGAGGAAGCCCTGGTGAGAAAGTCATGTAGGCCAGGCCCGGTTCAGGTTGTTAACCCTGAGGTACCTGAGGTTCACAGTGAGTCTCCAGGGTGGTGTGCTTCCAATCTGGGAGCTGTGGGGCAGGGGTAGGGGGTCCGTCCACTCTTCCTTGGGATAGTGGAGAATCCTAGTCAGCTCTCTTAAAACACAGCAAGCTTACGAAGCTGCAGTGGACAGGGATGGACACAAGGTGGCGAGAGGTGCATTAGAAACTTTCTACTCAAAGTGCAGTGGGGACCAGCAAGCTGACCTGGGAGCAGGGCTGAGCCTAGTGAGAGGCGAGTAAGGCCCCCAGAGCCCCAAACTGAAGGAGGCACCACCTTGGGGTCCTGCGAGTGCCTGTTTGATGGGCAAGTATCAGGTTTTCAAATACAGGCATACCTTGTTTTATTGAGCTCCACAGGTGATGTGCTTTTTACAAATTGAAAGCAGACCCTCCACCAGCAAAAAGATTACAACTCACTTTATTGCAATACTTGCTTTATTGCCGCATCTGGAACTGAACCAGCAATATCTCCAAGACATACCTGTGCCCATTAAAATATACCTGTGGCAACTGCCTCTTATCTGAGGTGATGAAGGCCAATGGTATGTTGAACTCAGCAGCAGTTCTACAGGAGAGGGTCAGTAGCAAGAGCTGAGTGAGCTGCAGGCACCAGCTGGCATGCATTACAGAGAGAATGCAGCAGGCTCACCTGACACATCTGTTAAGTGGAGGACAGTCAGCAGATACTATAGTTGCTAAAATGTTGAGGGTTTCTCTGATCTGTTCCATCATCCTGTAGACCAGTGCTTTGCAGCACACCCTTTGGGAGCAGTTATAGTAGAAGGCATCCTCCCGGTTGAAACTGCAGAGAAACTTAGAGAAGAAAGAACTGTGCCTGAGAGCTGGGGAAACCAGAGATTCCAGAAGCTTGGCAAATCTAGGAGAGCTTGGGGGTGGGTGGAGAGGGGGCTCTCCTGGCTGTTCCGGGACATCTGGCTTAGCAGTTGTAGTGGGTCAGAAGTGGGGTGAGAGGTTTCTGCATGTAGTCCCACTTTGGACCCCACTTCTTGTTCTGTGTGTGGTGGTTTTGGGACAGTGGGGCTCAGAGGGTGAGGTTGAGGGGACCTCAGCTTCCCAAGCAGAGCCCCTTGCCCATGATGTGGTCTGCCCCAGGCTCGAGAGCTGGCATGCCTGGGTGTCCATCTGGAGAGCACAGGGAGCACAGCCACGGTCGCACGTGAGTCCTGCTCAGAACCAGGTTTGGCCTCTGCCTGGAATGTGGGGGTTCGGTGGGGGTGGCTGGGAAACCCATACAGGGCAGGAGGTGAGCAGCAGGGCAGAGGTTGCCTCTTCCTTTTGCCCACACAGCACAAGGGCAACCTGTCTCCTCTGGGCAGGAAGGTCCCTCTGACCTGGTGGAGGGCATGTCACAGGGAGTGGGAGTCCCATGGAGGTTGGGGAGCCTGGCAGGCTGGGGAGGGCCCCTTCCAGAATCTTCTTCGCCGTGACCCAGCCACCCAGGCCTCCACCGTGTCTGGGCAGCACTGCCGGTTCCCCAGGTTTTTGGGGCTCTTTTCCCCTCGTGCTAACCTGCCCACTCTCTCCCTAGAGCTGGAGCTGGAGCTGGTGCTGAAAGGGTCATATGAGGACACACAGACGTCTGCCCTGGGCACAGCATCTGCCTTCCGCTTTCACTACATGGCAGCTCAAGAGGCAGAGCTGAGTGGGCGCCTGAGGGTGGGTCTTTGGGTCTTGGCCCTGGAGCAACCCTGCCAGCCCCAGCCTTGGGTCAGCTCCAGCTGCTGCAGGCGCCCCCTGGCCTTTCCCCCTGCCAAGACCTATGGCCTTGTCAGCTTCCCCTAGTTAGGCACCATGCTCTTGGCAGACAGGGTGGATCAGCAGGGCCTGGAATGGGCATGGGGGCTGCTATACCATGTCTGTCTTTGAACCCTTCCATGGCTCCTCCAATGATGCTCTTAGACTAAAATCTAATATCTGTGCCCATGGGCCCTGCACAGCCTGACCCCTGCCCACCTCTGCTGCCTCATTTTCATTCACACTCCCCTCAAGATGCTTCAGCCATACTTGTCACTTCCTGCTTTTCCAGCATGCCAGGTGCTTCCCCTGTCCTTCTCTGGCTTTTCCCAAGGCTGCCTTCTTCTCTTCCTCTTCCTCTTCCTCCTCCTCCTTCCCCTCCCCTCCCCCACCTTTCCTTCCTCTTTCTCTTCCCCCTCGTCTTTTAGATCTCAGCTCAAATGGCATCTCTTTAGAGGGGCTCTCCTTGACCTCCCATCTTAAATGGACCCCACACACCCCACCCTGGTTACTTATCACACTGCTTATTTCTTTACAACACTAACATCATTTCATTGCCTGTTTCTTTATAAATTCATACACACGATTCAGTAAGAACAATAAATATTAGCTATTATTTTTGTAATTATTAGCAGTTATACTTATTAAATTTTAATAATTATAAATATTGAAGTTATTTTTGTATTATCAGGGAGGGACCGTGTCTGTCTGGGTCACTGTCTACATTCTCAGTAAGGATTTGTTGAATGAATGAATGAATGTTTCCCTTCAGAGCCCCGAAAGCAATGGCTGGAACTCAGATAGCTCAGTTGGGCATCGCAGTGTGCCTCTGAGGAACTTGGCCCTGGGGAAGGAGACGGCCATTGACATTCCTGCTACAGATGTAAGTGGCCTCAACTGAATGGGAAGTGCCAGTGAAAATAAAGATAGGGGAGCCCAAGGCCCCCAGGGGATAACCACAGTCCCCTCAGGGTCTAGGACATTCTGAGTGAGGTCGCTTGCTTTGATTTCAGGCCCCAGAAGTGAGGCTTCAGCTCAAGGCTGAAGGCTGGTAAGGACATTCATATCTGTGGGGGACAGTGAGGGTTGGTCATGGGGCAGGAGAGTGCTGTGGAAAGGGTTGTCCTTGGGATTGGGAGCAAGGGAGGTTATTTGGCAGTTATTGTGGGCTTGTCCTCTTCTGAGCTCTTCAAGGGCCCCCTGACCCTTGGGTCCTCTCCTGCCCCAGCCATGAGGATCTGGCTGTGCGCTTGGGCTTTGACCTGTGTGCGGACGAGAAAGCCTTCCTGAGCAGGAGGAAGCAGGTGGTGGCCAAGGCCCTGAAGCAGGCCCTGCATCTGGACAGAGACCTACAGGAGGATGAGGTTTGGGGAATACAGAGGGAGGTGGGGTACAGATACCTTGAACTGGCCTTAAGGGAGTACCTGATTTCTCTGCCCTCTCCAGGCACTCTAGTCAGCAGAAACGGGGGAGGGAGCATGTTGGGGGAGAGGTGGGGCATGGGTAAGCATTGGGGTTCTCGCTCCCTTTGGAGCTCTGTCCAGGTCTGAGAGCTGTCACTTCCTGTCTCTAACTGTTACCCCATCAGACCCTGGCCACAAGGTCTCTTCTCTAGACACAGGAGGCAGCTCTATCTCTATCCTCATTAAGCCAGCCTGTATCTTTGTGTGTCCCCAGGTCCCCATCGTGGGCATCATGGCCACAGGAGGAGGTGCCCGGGCCATGACCTCTCTCTTTGGTCACCTGTTGGCCCTGAAAAAGCTGGGACTCCTAGACTGTGTGACCTACTTCAGTGGCATCTCAGGAGCTACATGGTGAGGGCCCTGGGGACTGGATGAGCAGAGATGATCAGGCCCCGGGGTGGGGGTAGAGTAGATACCAGAGGGACCCTCTATATAGGGAAGCCAAGGGTGTGAGCAGTATGGTCCGATAGGTGCCAAGTGGCTTTCTCAAAAGGGAGGAAACAGACATTGCAGAGGTCCTGCCATGACTGAGGCATTACAGGTGTCCACTCCATGCTACCAAAGAGGTGTAAGGCCGCTGATTCAAAAGGAGCTGGGTTTGAGTCTCCACAACACCAGCACTGGCTGGGCGACCTTGACCAACTTATTTCCTCTGATTCTCAGTTGACTCATTGCCAAAATGGTGATAATAATAGTACATACTCCATAGATTAGAGTGGGACAGCCCAAGTAAAACACTTAACATGTCTGATATGTGCTAGGAGCTCCAAATTGGTAGCTCTTTTTTTCTTTAATTGTTATTGCCTCATTTAATCCTCAGAATACTCTGTAGGGTAGTTTCTCTTATTGTCCCTATTGTATAGATGAAGAAATTGAGGTTAAGAGATGCTATTTTACCTAAAGACAGCTTTGCCTCCCTATACCCCACTGTGCCTGTAATGAGGTGGGACTTTTCACTGTTAGAGAGTCATTCCTTTGAGTCTTGTTGAAATGTGACTTTAAAGGAGTCAAAGAGAAGTAAACTCCTCAGAAGTTTAGGTGACAGTTATTGACAAGCAGTCTTAAAGGGCTTTAGGACAGACCTATGAAGATGGGAGTAGGGTCTAGAGCTGTGCTGTACAATACACTAGCTACTAGTAACTTGTAGCTATCGACCACTTGAAATGTGGCTAGTCCAAATTGAGGTGTGTTATAAATATAAAAAAGACAGTCAATTTTGAAGACTTAGTTTAAAAAAATACATAAATTTATGTTAATTTTTGATATTGGTTATATATTGAAATGATTTTGATAAATTAAATATATTATGAAAATTAATTTGTACTAATCTATTAACTTTTGTAAGTGTGGTTACTAGGAAATTTTAAATTACACATGTGGCTCACATTGTATTTATATAGGACAGTGCAGATCTAGGAGAGAAAGCCCTGAGGCATTTTCCAGATAGGCGGGGCTTTGCCAGCCGAACAACACACTGGGGAAAATCGAGGGTGGGGAAGAGGAGTTGCAGCGACTCCTGCTGTGCCTTGGCATCCTACTGTACTGTCCCTTTGTTCTCCCAGGACTATGGCCCAACTGTATGGGGACCCTGAATGGTCCCAGAAGGACCTGGAGGGACCCATCCGATATGCCCGGGAGCACCTTGTCAAAAGCAAGCTGGAGACCTTCTCCCCAGGGAACCTGGCAAGCTACCGTAGGGAGTTGGAGCTGCGGGCGGAGCAGGGCCACCCAACAACCTTCGTGGATCTGTGGGCTCTGGTGCTGGAGTCCATGCAACACGGCCAGGTATGGTGCCTGCACATGCGGAGTAGAGCGTGAGTGCAAGGGCAGGGCTGGGGTAGCCTCGCAGCTAGCTAGCACTCGTGTGCATTTCCTACATGGTAAGAGCCTAGGACCAGTGGTTCAAGGATGTGGCAACCACTGCGTTTCAATGTCTGCCCAACTTTGGGATGCTGCCTTTTTGAGTCAGGCTATTCTTCAATTAATTGCCATGATACTGAAATTTCTGGATCTCCCAAGAGCTAGGGACAAGTCAATGCTATTTCAGTTAAGCATACAGAGCTTTTGCATTGTGTTCGAGTCGGTGAGATTGCTTGAACAGCTTTTATTTTATTTATGCTGCAATATGAAATATATTCTTCTTTATCTTCATGAGTATTAAAAGCATAGACTCTGGAGACAGATTCCCTGTGTTCTAATCCCTGAGCCTCTTACTAGTTATGTATCCTTAGGCAAGTTACTTAGCTTCTCTGTGCCTCAGTTTTCTCATTTGTACAATGGGGATGAGAATGGTACTTACCTCATCTGGTTGTCATGATTCCTCAGTGGTGCCTTGGCATGGAGTAAGCATTAAGTGTGAGCTATTATAATTCTTTACTATTATCTTAACATAATTAAGACAAAACTTAGCATATAAGTTTTTTATACGTTGCTTCTTTAAGGAATTGCTTAGTAAGTTAACTGCTGAATCATATTAATTGATACAATTATTAAATCATTGATTTTTTTTCACACTAGGGTTTACCATGTATAACTATCTGAACAAAGTTTCTTTTAATGCATTTGAAACAACCAAAACATAAAATGTATTTTTAACATGCATAACAAAAAGTAAATTATCAAATATATTAGCAGAGGAAAGATTCTTGTCTTTCTTATCTTTGGTTTGACCAATAATGAATATCATGTAAACTAACCAAAAATGAATTTGCTGTAAATTTTTTAAAAAATTTTTATTCTTGCTGGCAAGCACAATGCTACTTGGATATTACCAACCATTCTTATTTTTTATTTATTAGTTTAAAAATATTTATTATAAAAATCTTAATACGTATTATTATTTATTATGATAATCTTCAGACCTAAGAAAATGCATAAAGCATAATTTAAAGAACATTTATGATCTCACCAACCAACCTAAGAAATGAAATGTTGATACCCCCAGTGGACACCCCCCTCCAGTCCCATTTCCCTCACACCCCAGAGGTAACCACTATCCTGAATTTAGGTTTATGATCACATACATATCTGCAATCTGTGTACTTTATTATATTATATAATACATAACATAATTATATAACATATTTTATATACCTTTATTATATACTTTGTATATATACTTTTACTATGTATACTTTTATTTAATATATATGTCTATATATATATTTCTATAAAAATATATAAATATATTTATTTATTAAAAAAATATATATATATCCTTAAGAAAAATGTATTATTTACATGAATAGTTTTGTACAATTCTCCTTGTACACATGTGGTAGTTAGAGATTCTCTGTGCCTTAAAATCCCAGTAGTGGGATTGTTGTGCCGTTGGTTACATGTGCCTTCAACTTTCCTATCTATTGCCAAATTGTTCTCCAAAAGGGTTGTATTAATTCACACTCCCACCCCACCATTGTATCATAATTTCTTTACATGCTCTTCAGACTTAAATTTTTGTTCATTTTATGGGTGTGAAAAGAAATTTTATTGTAGTTCTCCATTTCCTTGATTTTTAATTTGACTGATCAGATTTTCAGGTATATTTGTTATTGGGACTTCCTCTTCCTTAGATTACCTACTCAAATCGTTTTCTATTTTTCTATTTAATTCATCTTTTATATTATTTTGTAGGAATTCTTTATATAGCCTGGATATTAATTCTTAACAGTTCTAATAGATTTGATGCATAATTTTAATGAAATCCAGTGTATCATTCTTTTCCTTTATGGTTTGTGCTTTTAGGGTCTTCTTCAAAAATGTTTCCCTCTCCTAAAGTTATAAAATATCTTCCTATATATTCTTATAAAAGTTGTAAAGATTTGTTTTTCACAATTAAGCCTTCAGTCTGCCCAGTGTTTATCTTCAGGTATTATGTGACTAGGAATCCAGTTTTATTTTTTCCATGTGGATAGTAAACTTTCCCAATATCACTTATTGATTTTTTTCTTCCACTGATCTATATTCCTACTTCTGTCATGTGTCAGCGTTTCTATATTCGTGGGCCTCCTCCTGAGCCCTCTGTTCCATTCTGATTGTGCTGATTCTCTATCCCTGTGCCAGAATTGCACTGGCTTAGTTACTGTACATTTGTAATAAATCTTGGTATCTGACAGAGCAAATGTACCCCTATCTGCCACCTTGGTTCTTCTTAGAATGATTTTGGCTACTTTTGCCCCATTTTTCTTCTATATATATAATAAAATCAGCTAGTCAAGTTTCATGATAAATGTTGTTGGGATTTTCACTGAAATGGCACTGAATTTCTAAAGACAACATGATTGTTTGAAATATTTCTATTTTATTAATGTATTCTATGTATTCTTTAGATCTACTGTTAAGTTCATGTTCAGTTTTAAGGGTGTTGTGTTCTATTAACTGACTTTTCTGCCTGGCGGCAGGAATTAGTTACTATAAAATGGGAGAAACTTATTTTTAACAGTTCACTTTATAGGGTGCAGCTTGATCCTAGGCTATAAAGAAGACTTTAATTTAATTACCATTTGATCCTCTAGTAATGGCCTCTAATGCATAGTTTTATGTACAAGGTTTATAGTCATTTTTTAAAGTATTATTTTTATGTTTCAATTACAGTTGACATACAATATTATATTCGTTTCAAGTGTACAACATAGTGATTAGACATTTATATAAGTTATGAAGTGATCACCCCAATAAATCTAGTACCCATCTGACACCATACATAGTTATTACAATGTTATTGACTATATTCTTATGCTATACTTCATATCCCCATGACTATTTTGTTAACTACCAATTTGTACTTCTTAATCCCTTTTTCTTTTTCAACCACCCTTCTAACCCCCCTCCCATCTGGTAACCCTCAAAATGTTCTCTGTGTCTGTGAGTTTGTTTCTGTTTTGTGTGTTCATTTATTTTGTTCTTTACATTGCACATATAAGTGAAATCATATGGTATTTGTCTTTCTCAGTCTGACTGTACTCAGCATAATACACTCTAGGTCCATTCGTGTTGTTGCAGATGGCAAGATTTCATTCTTTTTTATGACTGAGTTATAATCCATTGTATATATGTACCACCTCTTCTTTATCCATTCCTTCATTGATGGACTCCCAGGTTGCCTCCATGGCTTGGCTATTGTAAATAATGCTGCAATGAACATATGGATGCACATTTCCCTTCAAAGTTGTGTTTTGGGTTTCTTTGGGTAAATATCCAGAGTGGGATTACTGGGTCCTTCTTTGTCTTTTGTTATAGCCTTTGTTTTAAAGTATATTTTGTCTGACGTAAGTATTGCTACTCCAGCTTTTTGTTGTTGTTTCCATTTTCATGAAATATCTTTTTCCCATCCCTTGATTTTCCCGTCTTTGTGTGTCTTTCGATCTGAAGTGAGTTTTTTGTAGGCAGCATATGTAAAGGTCTTGTTTTCTTATCCATTCAGCCACTCTATTTTTGATTAGAGCATTTAATCCATTTATATTGAAAGTAATTATTGATAGATATGTAGTTATCACCATTTTATTATTCATATTCCTCTTCCTCCTCTCCCTCCTCTTCTTCCTTCTCCTCCTTCTTTTTCTTCCCCTTCTTAAAGAAGTCTCTTTAACATTTCTTGTAATACTGGTTTGGTGGTGACGAACTCCTTTAGCTTTTTCTTGTCTGGAAAGCTCTTTATCTGTCCTTCGATTCTAAATGATAGCTTTGCTGGGTAGAGTAATCTTGGTTGTATGCCCTTACTTTTCATCACTTTGAATATTTCATGACAATCCCTTCTGGCCTGCAAAGTTTCTGTTGAGAAATCAGCTGACAATCTTATGGGAACCCCTTTGTAGGTAACTAACTGTTTTTCTCTTACTGCTTTTAAGATTCTCTCTTTGTCTTTAACCTTTGACATTTGAATTATGATGTGTTTGGGTGTGGGCCTCTTTGGGTTCCTCTTGTATGGGGCTCTCTGCACTACCTGGGCTTGTGTCTATTTCCTATGCCAGGTTAGGGAAGTTTTCTGTCATTATTTCTTTAAATAGGCTTTCAATTCCTTGCTGTCTCTCTTCTCTTTCTGATACCCCAATAATGCAAATGTTGTTATTCTTGATGTTGTCCCAGAGGCCCCTTAAACTATCCTCATGTTTGGATTCTTTTTTTTTTCCTTTTCTGTTAGGGTGTTTTCTGCTACCTTATCTTCTAAATCGCTGATTTGACCCTCTGCTTTATCTAATCTATTGTTGATTTCCTCTAATATATACTTCATTTCAGTTATTGTGTTCTTTCTTTATTTCTGACTAGTTCTTTTTAATATTTTCTGTCTCCACTTTTATGTTTTCTATCTCTTTGTTGAAGTTCTCCCTTAGATCATTGAGCATCCTTACAGCCACTGTTTAGAAATCTGCATCTGGTAGATTGCTTGTCTTCATTTTGTTTAGTTCTTTTTCTGGAGTTTTGTTCCATCCTTTTATTTGGGACATGTTTCTTTGTCTCCCCATTTTGGCTGTCTTCCTGTGTTTGTTTCTATGTGTTAGGTAGGGCTGCTATGTCTCCCGGTCTTAATACAGTGGGCTTATATAGTAGGTGTCCGGTGGGACCCAGTGTCACAGTGTTCCTGGTCACCTGAGTTGGGTGCCGCAGGTGTGTTCTTTGTGCATGCCCTCCTGTTGTAGTTGAGTCTTGGTTGCTGTTTGCACATCAGTGGGAGGGATTGACCCTCAGACTAATTGATTGTGAGTACTGGCTATGGGTACAATGGAGGAGCTAGGGTGCAGGGGCTGACCCTACAGAGCAAGTTCGCTTTAGCGGGGCTCTGGTACCTGCCCAGTCTGTCCTTTGGATGTGTCATCTTTGGAGGCAGCCAGTGGAAGGGCCCCGCTGCAAGCCAAGTTCAGCCACAGCATGTACCCTGTCTGGGACCACCTGAAATTAACCACAAAGCAATCTCAAGATGGTTTCCACCCACACTGGACTTGGAGGTGCCTGGAAGAGGCTAAGCTGTGGACTGAGGCTGGCTGCTGCTAGTGCCAGGCCTGGGGCTGCTTAGCAAGAGGGACAGGGCCAGATGCGGCTTGTTTGGGGTTTGTGAACCTTTTAAGGAAAGTACACAGCATGAGCCAAGACAGACCATATGTATGGAAAAGCCACTGGAAGCGGCTTGGGTGGATCCACAAGTTGGGTGGAACAGAGTCTCTGGGAGTCACCAGGCTGGGGACAATGCTGTTAGCCAGGTTGATGGAGACTTAGCATGTGCAGGCTGAGTCGGGGGAAAGCTCAACGAAGAAATAATGGCTTCTACCAGTACTTCTGTCTGGAAGAAAGCTGCCCCTCCAGCCCTCACCCTGAAAACAGACAATTCAATTCCTCCCTGTATGTCCCTGGCACCTTTTGAGCAATGGCCCCAGGAGCTCAAAACGAGTCCAACAGCAAGTAAGTCCATGCATGGGCCCTTTAAGAGGAGCACCTGGGACTCCAGCAACCCTCTGTTTCACTCAACTACAATCTCCACTGGTTTTCACAGCCAGAAGTTGTGGGGGCTTCTCTTCCTGGCACTGGAATCCTGGGCTGGGGAGCCTGGTGTGGGGCTGGGACCCTTCACTCCTCAGGGTGGACCTCTGCAGCCGAGATATCCTGCACTATTTTGAATTGTCATACGCAGGTGTGGAACCAACTCGTTCTGCATCTCCGCCCCTCCTACCAGTCTCGACGTGGCTTCTCCTATGTTTCCTTAGTTGTAGGACTTCTATTCAGTTAGACTTCCGATGATTCTCAGTGATGGTTGTTCTGTACTTTATTTGTAATTTTGACATTGTTCTGTAGTTTATTTGTAAAAAAGAGGAGGTAAGCACAGCATTTATGTACTCCACCATCTTTTTTTTTTTTTTAATATTTTATTGGGGAATTGGGGGAGGGGAACAGACAAGTTGCTGTCCTTTAGTTCTTCAGTCTAGTTGTGGAGGACATCGCTTCATTGTCCCATGTTGGTATTATGATCATTGCGCTCTTCCCAGGTTAGGCAGTCACTCGCCAGCCATTGGACAGCCGCTCACAGCGGCTCACGACAGCTGCCAGCCACTCACGTTGGCTGCCAGCCACTCACAGTAGCTATGGCAGCCCACTGCAGCCCTACTGCAGTCTATGCTGTAGTTGGAGACTCACGGCAGCCCAGCTTCAGGTCGAGCTGTTGTTCACCATCTTAACTGTAGAGGGCGCAGCGTCACTGGCCCTCATGTGGGATCCAAACTGGCAGCCCTGCTGCTCAGAGCTGACACTCCCAAGCCAACTCTTAATCAACGAGCCACTCGGCCGGCCCTGTACTCCACCATCTTGACCAGAAATCAGTTTATAGTAATTTTTAAAAGACAAACTTAATTAGTTTTTCTGTCTTTATAAGAATAAAAATTTTGGGGCCGGCCAAGTGGCGCATTGGTTAAGAGCTGGCTTGGGATGCCAGAGGGCCCTGGTTCGGATCCCACATATGAGGGCCAGTGGCACTGCCCTCTACAGCTAAGATGCTGAACAACAGCTCAACCTGGAGCTGGGCTGCCATGAGTCACTGGCAACGGCTTAGGCTGCAGCCCCTGCTGATGTGGGTTGCCATCGGCTACCGTGTGTAGTCAGCAGCCAGCGTGAGTGGCTGTCCAGAAGCCGGCAACTGATCTGCCTTGCCCGGGAAGAGCGCAATGATGGTGCCAACTTGGGCCAGTGAAGCAAAGTCCTCCACAACTACACTGAAGAACAAAAGAACAGCAACTTGTCTGCTCCCCTTCCCCCAATTCCCCAGCACTGTTCCCATCCCCTAATTCCCCAATAAAAAAATCTTTTAAAAAAATAAATAAATAAAAAATAATTTTTTTGTGGTATTGGATAACGATGTCATCTTAAAAATGAGCACCCATGTGGTTTTAAAATTTTTCTTCCAATAGGAAAGCTTTTCAAATATTTTTCTGTTTTTCATAGTTATCATGCTTATCTCTTACAGCTAACACTCACTGTATGCTTTTTTAAATAATTCTTTGTTCAGACAAATTTAGTGTTGATTTCAAATTTAAGTCGTCAGATAAAAACAAATATCTCTGTACTATACTAATCTACAGAACCAAAAGTCATTTTAAAATTCCAGAAAATATAACTCCATAACAAATCACAATTTCATTAATATTATTATTAGAAAAAATATTATACCTTAATCTTTACTCAGAGAAACTTTATTAGTTCATATACTTCTATAATATTGCTTTGGTTTTTGTAAAAACCCATTTGTAAAATTCAGCAGTTATAATCAGCACTTCTCAAATTATCTCTGTGAAATTTTTAATCTTTAACTGACAAGCACTGAACTGCTTAGAAGCTGCTCACCATTCCTCAAGGAGAAACTTGTAGTTTTTCTCCTATCTTTTCCTGAGTTAAGAGGTCTTAACATGTTTTCTTCAACTCTGCACAAAAGGTTATGCACACCCTTTAGTCCCACCCTGTACAGTGCCTGGACCATAAAAACATGTTGTCAACACTGCACCTAGCTCCCTCACTTCAAGTAGGACCCTTGAGTCATCAGAGAGGTGTTCTAAGGGTTGGGGAGCCTCATTTGGAAACTTGGGGACTTTAGATGCAGAGGCCTACCACAAAGAAAAGGAATCCTGTTTCAGTCCATGGAGGGGTGTACTGATCCTTTTCCAAACCTTTCCCCAGGGCAGAAATTGTGCATCTGACACGTTTCCCCTCCTCATTCATGTCAAAAGAGCAGGCAAACAGGATTCCTAATTAATAAGACTTTGAAAAGAGAAATTGCAGGTATTAATCAAACCCCTCCCTCCTCAACACATATGCACATTCACACTTACAGAATTGACTGGCAGATATGACAAATTGTCCCTGCAGCTTGACTATATTTGGGGATTTTCCTTTGGCTTCCCTATAACTCAAGTCATATTGGGTGTCTTTGAAGAACCGGGGGAGAAGATGACTATGGTTGACACATGAGTGCTCTCATCAAGTGACAGAGGGCTGATGGGGAAAAGGAAGCTGAGGCTTTGCAGTGGGTGGGAGGGGGACTCCTTGCTGGATAGGCTGGGCTAGAGTCCTGGGACACACACACCTTTCTGATCCTGAGAATCACCTGGGGAGATTTTAAAAAGGGCAGAATCTTAGGTGACTTCTGCTGACTCTCAGAAGAGACTCAGTAATCAGTGAACTTAACACACTTTCTCAGTACATCTGAAGATAAAGGCTGACGTGGCAGGTGGGAACTCCTTAGGTCTAGCTGCAGAGCGAGGTGCCTTTTCAGCTCCCAGAGCCTAAGAGAGGGATTGTGTCCATGGTACACATACTGCTCTCTCAGAAACAGCACAGGGCCTGAGCCCCTCCTAAGGTGGGGCTCCAGGCAGCCACCATCATTAACCTTGTTGATGCTTGAGAGGAACCCTGTTTGCATCTCTGGTCTGGGATAGAATGAGACATTTTTGTGCCCCTAGACCTTGGTGAGGTTCTGTGGAGACTCCCCTAAAAAGCAAGCCACGGTCCTTGCCATCAAAGAAGAGCCTGGAGTGTTATTGAAGAGAAAATTAAAAACAGAAGGCAAGAATAAATAAAAGGGTACAACTTCATATGGTGCAAAGCAGGAAAGAAGGGGGTATTGAGGGGTGTGGCAAGGATGTCAGGGAAGCATTTGGGAGGGGATGAAACGCGAACTGCATTAAGGTGAACCTAGAAGGGGCAACCCATCCCCTGGCAGAGTGTCCAATGTCCACTAAAAAGGGGGATTCCTGTGTCCTTTCTAGAAGGCCGTGCGTGTGCACATGTGTGCGCCTTTGTGACTGTGTCCGAGTCCACATCCAATCCACCGTCAACCCATAAAGATGGGGCCACTGGCACCACAGGATGCAGGGGTGGGGTATCACTGCCAACACTAGTCCTTGTAAATGGCACTCTCTGGAGATTTGCAGTGCACAATCTGCATAGCCGTCCATGGTGACCACATATGGGGCTGGTTAGAACGTTGGGGCAGGAGTGGGAACTGAATAGGTACACCCACCCATGCCACCCAATTACTAATAGGGAGCTGCCTCCTCACCCCTAGCCTGTGCCTCTTCCCCACCCCTGTCCTGGTGGATTCGCTGCCTCCAAGATGCTCTCAACCTCACTTCGGCCCTCGTGTTCCCCACCCCAGGTGATGGATCAGAAGCTGTCAGGACAGAGAGCTGCACTGGAGCAGGGCCAGAACCCTCTGCCCCTCTACTTGAGCCTCAATGTCAAAGAGAACAATCTGGAGACTCTCGACTTCAAGGGTACAGTCCTCAGCCCTGTCCACTCTGCCCTCCAACACGCACACAAACACGTGTGCGCACACGCACACATGCACACCTCTGTACCCCATGGGTCCCCAGAGAGTTCCCCCAAGCGGGAAGCTCCTGCACAGATGGCCCAGACTTCTGGAAGAACGGCAGTTCTGGTGGGCTGAGTGCCAGAGAGCGGAGGCTCGTTGTCCTAGAGGCGGGCAGGGTGGGGAGGGGTGGACAGGAAGGATGTGGTCAAGGGGTTGGGGGAGTGGTCAGCCCAGGAGGCGGCCAGCCAGCCAGGCAGTAGGGAGGCTGAGGCCTGCTGGGGGCAGTATCTTTGGTCTGTCAAGGCTGGGGCTCCCCCTGCCCACTCTTGTCTCATCCCCACCTCTCCTTCCTGCCCCTTAGAGTGGCTCGAGTTCTCCCCATATGAGGTCGGGTTCCTGAAGTATGGAGCCTTTGTCCCTCCTGAGCTCTTTGGCTCTAAGTTCTTCATGGGACAGCTGATGAGGAGGACCCCTGAGTCCCGGATCTGCTTTCTGGAAGGTGAGGGGTGGTCGCTCTAAAGCCCTGGCCAGTCCTGGGCCAGGCCTCTCTGACTGAACATGACTCCTGTACTCAGGTCTAGCAGGGCCTCCTCCCCGCCCCACTCCATGAGGGCCGGGGTTGGGCTGTGAAGAGCCATTGCAGAGGCAGCCTGCTCCCCCTCCCACTTTCCACCTGCACCCAGGGGTGGGGGCCACTGGCTTCTGTGCAATGGAGGACAGGGCGCAGAAGCCCGAGGCTGACTTCTCGTGGGGGTTTGGCCTTCAGGTATCTGGAGCAACGTTTTCTCCCTGAACTTGCTGGATGCCTGGTATGACCTCACCAGCTCTGATGACACCTGGAAGCAGCGCATCAAGAACAAGATCAGGACCCTGGGTAGGAAGGGGAGGCAGCAAGGAGAGCCTGGGATGAGGCCGCTTTCCCTTCATTTACTGCAGGTGGGGGGCGGCGCTGTCAGAGGGAGGCAATGCCAGGCATTTCCGGACCCCTCACTGGACCAATGTCTGTTTTTCTGGGCCCAGAGGAGCCCGTTGCCTCCTCGAGGACTTCCTCATGGCCAGAGGCCCTGTGGCTGCAGCCTGGAACGGCACTGGCCCAGGCATTTAAGGGCTTCCTGACAGGCAGGCTGCTCTACCAGCACAGCTCCAACTTCCTCCAGGGCCTCCAGCTGCACCAGGACTACCGTGATCAGAAAGATTTCTCTACCTGGGCAGGTAAGGTCTACTACCTTATGTCCCCAGGTAAGAAGGTTGGGCTCCTTGGTATAGATGGACCAGGTTTCTGCCAGGACTGGCAGAAACCTTGGAGGTTACAGCATCCACTTCTGCGGTGTGGACTGGAGAAGGTCTTGGGAAGGGCTCAGGTGTCATGTGTGTTCAGGGAGTGACACCAGAGGTAAGGGGGATGTAGAGGCAAATGCAATATGAAGGACGGGGGGCGGTGAGTAGATAATCTATGGTAGACTGGCTGCCCCTGACTATCGCTGCCTCCCCAATCAGATAGCCAACTAGACGCCAGCCCTGGCCAGCTGACCCCGCAGGAGCCCCAGCTCTGCCTGGTGGATGCCGGCTACTTTCTCAACACCAGCTGTCCCTCCATGTTCCGGCCAGGGCGCAGGCTGGACCTCATACTCTCTTTCGACTACTCCTTATCCTCACCTTTTGAGGTACCTCTGATTGCCCCCATGGGAACCCCAGATCCTCTGCCCAACCAGGCCAAGCTCCAGGAGTGAACAGCAGGGCCACTGGGCTGAGTACCTATGTCCCCAAGGGAAAGGAGGGATGACAGGCTCTGACCCACAGGTTCCTGCCAGGGTCCTTGGTTGGGAAGGGCTGTGGAGGTGCTGGGGCCTCAGGTTCCCAGGACAGGTGGACAGGGAGGAAGTTTGCCATGCCCACCCCAAGAGGAACAGCTGGTCAGAGCTGGGAGGAGGCTCTGGCCTGTCCACATCTATCCCCCCCAGGGCCTCCCTGGGGACTCTGGGGGAAGGGGGGAAGGCCATGATACAGAAGTAGATCCCCTACAGAGAAGTAGATCCTCTAGGCTCTGTGACTTGACTAACTCATCAATAGCAATCCCAAATGGGTGGAGTGCCAGGTCTTCACCCCACCTACAGATTTTAACCAAATAGCATTGCAGACCAGCGGCACCCTTTGCCTCTCTCCAAGCTTAACTGGGCCATGAACAAGAACCTGATTATTTTAACACTGAGCAGTCGGTTTTGGTTGGAGCAATCCTAGCATTTTCTAGACCTGGGGTGACCAGGAAGTAGCTGGTTCTCTCTGGGCCCCTCTCCCCTACCAGGTGCTGCAGCAATCTGAGCTGTACTGCCGGAGCCGGGGGCTGCCATTCCCCCGGGTGGAGCCCAGCCCACAGGACCAGCGCCAGCCCAGGGAGTGCCACCTCTTCTCGGACCCCACCTGCCCTGATGCCCCTGTCCTGCTGCACTTCCCACTGGTCAATGCCTCCTTCAAGGACTACTCGGCACCTGGTGAGGCAGCCCCTCCCTTCCTAACAGCCTGGCAACCTGGCATACTGGCCCCTCAGAGGCACTGCCTTGGGCCCTTCCCAGTACCCCTGTGGCCAGGAGAGGGAGAGGAGAGTCTTATGGCTAGTCCCCCCCAGTTTTGGACACAGCAGCTCCCTGGTGTCTGTTGCAGATGCCCACATCCCTGCAGGGGCCCTCTGCAAAGTCACTGTGCTGCTGTCCTCTTTGTCAGGACCCCAGTCTCCTTTGCCTTGCACACCCCCACCTCCCCGCCCTACCAGATATACCTGGGCCTCTCTGTTTTCTGTTCTGTGGCGTGGAGTGAGAGAATCCCTGCATCAGAGGCCACCTACATTGTCACCATCTGTAGCCATCTCCACCGCTGCTCAGGCCCAAGTTGTTGGAGGAATTCATAAAGGCTCCCCAGGCTAGACAGCCAGGGAAGAGAAGCCCCAGTACCCACTCTCTCAGGGTCCCCTAAATGCACTTTGGGTTTCAATTGGCCTCTATCATCCTATCCCACCCCAGGCGGGGGAACTTTCTCACAGAGCTGGACCTCTATTTGGGACCGCTGAAATCTAAACCCGTATCACATTCCTTCCAATCCTCACCTCCCACCAACTGGTCAGTCTTTTCTCTTCTTTTGGTGAGAAAAACCACATTGCTGCCTTTGTTCATTATTCCTGGCTTCCTAGTTCCTGCCACAATTCCAAACTTTCCAGCTTTTACTCTTAGCATGCTAATCCCACACCTTGGAATTCCCTTTCTCTCTCAGCAAAGACTGGTTCTTAACAAAGCAAAAGTTTTTTGGTTTTCAGCCTCTTGTTTCCATCATGAGTTTTAAGAATCCATTCGCTAACCTGACTTTGTTGTTCTGGCTATTTCCACCTTATCCCTGAAGGTGAAATATATGCTATGAGGTTGCCTGAATAGTGGAAAAAATATAATGCTACAAAGAAATGTGGGGAGCAGCAAGCTCTTCATATCTCAAAATAGTATCCTGCTATCCACATTTACATTTCTGGGTGAAGGACACAGAGGGCTGAGAGAGAAGCAAGGAACCCCTTGGGGAGCAGCTCACCTCTGTGCCCAGGTTCGGGGCTTAATTCTGCCCAGCTGTGCAGGCCTCTGGGTCCTGCTCCTAACTGCTTCCCGCCCCTGGGCAGGTGTCCGGCGCAGCCCTGCAGAGCTCCCTGCTGGCCAAGTGGATGTCACTGCAGCTACCTCACCCTATTCCCTGTTCAACGTGACCTACAAGGAGGAAGACTTTGACCGCCTGCTGCAACTCAGTGATTACAATGTCCAGAACAGCCAGGACACCATCCTGCAGGCCTTGAGGATAGCTCTGAAGCACCGGGCCCCGGGGGCCAGGCTTCCAGGGGCACAGACTTGAGGCTGTTCAGGGGCCCCAGCACCTTGAGGGTCAGACTGTTTACCAAAGCTGCTGCACTATATTTACACTCCTGTCAGCATTCTATGAGGGTTCCAATTTCTCTACATCTTTGCCACACTTGTTATTGTCTATCTTCTTTATTATAACGATCCTAGTGGGTATGAGGTAGTGTCTCCAATGCATTTCCCTGACTAGTGATGCTAAGAATCTTCTCACATACTTCTTGCCTTTTGTATACCTTCTTTCGAGAAATGTCTATTCAGATCTTTTACCCATTTAATTGTAATATTTGTC